CCCCATCACTTTGCTAATGGTCTACCCCTAAATGAGATTTCATCATGTTACCAGGCAAACAAAATTACTGATCCTGCTCCACTGATATTAGCAGAAAATGGCAGAAGAGGCAAAGATATAAAAATGCAATCTATGGAAACAAATTTTTACCGAAGTTTAGGTAATGACTTTGGCATAATCTTATGTTCTTTGGGATTTTTGTTTCAAATATTAAGCCTACACATGTAAAAACGCACAAGTTGTTACAGGTCTGCAAACAAGTTGTTGCAAATCTGTTCACAAACTGTCAACAAGTTGTGTTCGCACTGCTTGTTCCCAGTTGTTGTAACAAGCTTGATGGCATTATCAGACTTGTTACAAGGTTGTTCTAACAAGTCTGATGCAGTCATGATATAACAAGAATGTTACAAGGTTGATGACACAAGTTGTTCCAACAATTTGTTATCGTTCTGCAATTCAACTGTTTGTCAACAAGTTGTGAGTGACAACCTTGTTGCAACTTGATAGAATAACAGCATTGAACATTACAACTTGTTGACAAGCTTGCTACAAGCCTGTTGCGAACACATCTTGTTGACAAGTTGAGTGATTTTTACGTGTGTAGTTTCTGTTGCTTTGTGTTGTGTGGCAAACATGATGTAGAAAACTGTCTTCTCCATTTGTGTAGGAAAGGGAATACATCGACCATTGTTTAATATTTACAGACGAGTAATTCGAGTGTACAATCCTGAAAATTATGTTGGAAGGTATTGATACACTGCAATAGGATACTACATGTGTTTGTAATAAGTTCCAGGTTTCATTATAACTTCAGTGGTCTATATTTGTTTTTCAGATGGTCTGAAAGTGAAACACAAGACTTATTAAGGTGTGATTTGCTTTGGATTCAATTTGATCAAAACATATTAATACAAGAGTGTAATCTTTCCTAATTTATCAACAGTAATGCCCCCCTCAATTTATTTTTTTATTAAGGCACACAGACATTTTCTTCAAAAAAGAGGCTAAAATACCCTGGTCAAACAAGAATGAGAGTTGTTGAGAAGCGAGAGTTTGCATGAGAGTTTTCTCAACTCTCATGACCCGGTCAAACGAGAACAAGAGTTGCATGGGAGTTGATGAGAGTTGAGAAGCAAGAGTTTACATCAGAGTTTTCTCAACTCTCATGCACGAGAACAAGAGTTGCATGAGAGTTGATGAGAGTTGAGAAGTGAGAGTTTGCATGAGAGTTGATCAGAGTTGAGAAGCAAGAGTTTGCATGAGAGTTTTCTCAACTCTCATGCCCCGGTCAAACGAGAACAAGAGTTTGCATGAGAGTTGATGAGAGTTGAGAAGCAAGAGTTTGCATGAGAGTTGATCAGAGTTGAGAAGCAAGAGTTTGGATGAGAGATTACTCAACTCTCATGCCCCGGTCAAACGAGAACAAGAGTTTGCATGAGAGTTGATGAGAGTTGAGAAGCAAACGTTTGCATGAGAGTTGATCAGAGTTGAGAAGCAAGAGTTTGGATGAGAGATTACTCAACTCTCGTGCATGCCTCAGTAATACGAGAACAAGAGTTGATGAGAAATGACTGGATATTACCACACAATAGTGAAAACTCGAACCAGTTCAAAGTTGATGAGGGTACATGAGAGTTGGCTGTGAAACGCGAACGAGAGTTGCAACTCTTATGAACTCTCATCAACTCTTATGACAGTTCCCAGGTTGTTAGTTCAAAAGAGATGTATTTTCCAAACTTTAAGGTTTCACGGGCTGTTTGGAGACCAGTGGACAAAAATCGGCAGTTGCCTTGGTCGCAGTGGAATGTCAGTCCTTCATAAGTTCCTGGAACTACAGGGAACAAATGGTAAGAATTGTCATATCTTGCAGGACATTTTTTAGGAAATTACAACTGATGGGGCTAAGTCTCAATGAGGGCCCTTCCCCCATACAGTTACGCGTACATAAAGACCATGCTGTGCTGACTCTTATAAGATGAAATGTCGAGAATGTGAGAGGATATGAGAAAGCAGGCAGATGCAGGATGATTTCTTACTAATGATCAAAAGGGCTCGGCCAGCTCATCTGAAAATATTGCTTCACTACTGGGGCAAGCAAAGGGCCTACTGGGGGTAAATGACCCAGTAGTTATATAGTTTAAAAATGCCCTGCTTGTTGTAGGTTATGAGGGGGGCAGCAGGTTGCTTTTTTTACAGAAACTACACTTCGAAAATCGTGCGTTATTCACATGAATTTAAGTATGAGTTTCAAGCTCAAATTTTAATCTGAAATTCCTCTCAGAAACGTATTCCACCTTTATGAAGAAAAGTCAAAAGGAAGCCTGCGAAAACAAGCTGTCATGTTGTTTTACAATGCATTTTAGTCTTTGGCGTCGTGCAAGGAATAAAATTGTTCCAATCTTTCTGTTTTTCTACAGAGGGCTGCTGGTCAGTGGAAGAAATTGAGCGTCTCGATGCGAGCGTAAGAGCTTCGACAGGCACTGAATTTGGGAGTCAAATTTATGGCGATATAAATTGGATTGAAGTAGCAGATTTCGTTATGACACGAACGTCTTATCAATGTCGGGCAAAATGGTAAAGCATGTATAGTTTTGTTGTGGACTTGTGATAAGGAGGAGATTTTAGAACCGATAGTGTTATCCAGAATAGAGCTTTTGCACATGACGTCACAGCCGCCATGTTCGTGTTCCAATTCAAAAGAATTTTAATTAGATTCTTTTGTCTGGAACACCAACATGGCCGCCATGGCTTTTGTTGAGTTGGTCCCTGGGGAATGAGTGCCAACGCTCTATATATAAAGTTAGTTTAGGTTTTCTTCTATAGCCCTAGTACTGAACTATTTTGGAGTGATCTGATACAGTTCAATTGAAATATTTTAAGATTTTTTTATTTAGGTTAAAAGATGTATGTTGGAAAACTGCCAGTGGGGAAAAGAACATCAAATGGAATTCGGAAGATGATGTTAAACTAATCGAAAGGTTAGTATCGGCTCTGGTAGGAGTCGAACCAGCAGTCTTGCGATTCCGGTGCAGCGCTCTAACCAACTGAGCTACAGAGGACAGCATGCCTGTAGAAAGTAGGAAATTATGGAGCGACGCTACCTCCAAAGTCTGAAGGGCTAACTCCAAACCAAACGATACACTTGAGTAACTTGGGTAATTCAGAACTGAGTTGAAATATGAATTGTGAAGTTACTGGCTAACTCCAAAAATCCGATCCTCAGACCCTCGGGATCTGAGACCATGACAAGGGTCGCGGGGAATGCGTTCATTCCCCTCGACCCTTGTCATGCTCTGTTGGCCGCATGTAAGACGGGCTTCTAGCTCCATTTGAAGACTGGCTACCTCCACAAAAATAAAATCTACAGGTGTGGAGGACAGTTGTTGAGCTCTATAAACCACGAACTTGTGGTTAAGCTCGACAACTGGCCTCTGTAGCTCAGTTGGTTAGAGCTTGACAACTGGACTCTGTAGCTCAGTTGGTTAGAGCTTGACAACTGGACTCTGTAGCTCAGTTGGTTAGAGCTCGACAACTGGCCTCTGTAGCTCAGTTGGTTAGAGCTTGACAACTGACTCTGTAGCTCAGTTGGTTAGAGCTTGACAACTGGCCTCTGTAGCTCAGTTGGTTAGAGCTTGACAACTGTCTCTCTGTAGCTCAGTTGGTTAGAGCTTGACAACTGTCTCTCTGTAGCTCAGTTGGTTAGAGCTTGACAACTGGCCTCTGTAGTTCAG